CTCCCCTTTCCTTTCGTTTTCCCCTTCCCCCCTGATCAATGTTGCTGCACCTCAACGTGGTGATCAGGTGACAACAAGTTTTTTAAAAGACTTGGCTAAGTCAGCAACAAATAATCATGAATGGATTTAATAGAACATGCCGCAAGTTTTAATTTTGAAAGAGCCGTTTATATTAACTTATTAACTCGTTTTCCGGAGATCCAAATACTATCGTAAATATTATCATTGAAGCCAGTTCAGAATTCGGATGAATATGGAAGTATGTATATATATATAAATTTCAACAAGTTCTGTGATTAATAACTATTTAATTAATATTTATTAGTTATAATAGGTATTATCAACTTTTGTGTGGTACTCTTCAGAGCTACTTCCAAAATACGCATTGAAATGTCCTTTCCCAACTTTGTTTTTTTATTATCCCATTTCCTGTCAGTCCATATTGCTTTATAAAAACACCTTGAAAAAACCCTGACCTTAATAAACCAAATATAATGATCTACATATAATTCCGAATGATTTTTCTATTCCTAATTAATTTATTATTATTCTTGAAGAAATTAATTAAATATATAAACAAAATTAAAAATAGTTGTTTCTACAATAATAAAAGATCCCTACAAAAGTTTCTAATAATAGTAAGATCATAGAATAATTTTAACTTCTTATTACAAAATTTAGTTGCCATTCTTCAAAGAATTTCAATAATTTTTTCACCTGAATAAACACATTATTTATCAACGATTCTTTTCATTCACTAGCTGAATAGTAAATAGACATGAATATGAAGATTCTTTAAGTTATCTCGAGATTCCTATAAGTAATACAATACATTCCTTGGAAGTTACCTTTTTTTCCTTTTTAATTGAAGGTAAAAACTTAAAGACAGAAAAAAACGATTTATTCATGTTATATAATTTATAATGCGGATTATATACATTCTTTTTTTTATTTTAATCGTTCTGCCATGATGATCTTAAGAATAATATTATTTCTTTATCTGTTATACAGTAATTGTTTTAGTTTGCACACTAATTTTCTTAAACTTGATTTATCTCCCTTTAAAAATCAACTATATTAATGATAAATTAGAAAATATTATAGGATTTCTAATATTATCTATAGAGAACTAAATTCTATAAAAGAAGAACTTTTGAGTGATTAAATACGAATGTTACAATTAATTATTCAATTAAAATTCAAGCAATTATTCCATTTTTATAATTGTTAAGGTTAATAACTTTTATTTATTTTATTAATGTATTTATTTATTCTTTTTTTTTTTATGGGAAAAATGTTAAAAAAGCTAAAATTAAGTTTATCAAATATCATTTTGTATAAATGTTAGCCTTAAATTTACGTTTTTACTTATTTATCATCGGAGTTTTTTCTTATAATTTATTTTTAAAAAATGCAAGAATTAAATTTTTACCCTTTTAAATTTCAAATATTTGAAAAATATTTTGATTTAAAAACAAAAGATATTTTAACATACACAAAATAAATTTTAGTATAAAAGAAAATTAGTATATATAAATAATATAACTATTATAAGTAGTTGATTGGCTAAACGGCATCATTACAAAAATAGATATAAATCATCATCAAATATCAAATAAAGAAATTAATGAAGCTTGTTTAAGTAATAATAATTCAGAATCACAGGGAGATTTATCTCAACTTATTCAAGATTTTGATAGAATTAATATAAAAGAAGTTGATCCTATGGTAATATTAAGTAAACAAGCAATTGAAGATTATAATATTATAGTTGATGAAATAAATGATTTTATTTTTAGATTAATGAATAAAGGATTTGAAAGAAATTCAGTGAAACAGAAAGTTATAGAATATTTTAATAATCATAATATAAATTCACAAGATATTTATAATTGGTTATTAATCAAAAATAGTTTAAATTCTATTTTTTTACTTGGATATTTTAATCATTATGGAATTGTAACAAGTGAAAATAATGAGAAAGCATTTAATTTATTTATTAATGCATCAGAAAAAAATCAATTATTATCACAATATTTTACTGGTCATTGTTATTTTCATGGATATGGAACGGTTAAAAATGAAAAATTATCTTTTGATTATTATGAAAAAGTGGCTAATGAAAATTTTTCAAGTGGTCAATTAGGAGTTGGTTATTTTTATAAAAAAGGAATAAGTGTTGAAAAAGATTATCAAAAAGCTTTTTATTGGTATGAAAAAGCTGCAAATAATGGTAATATAATAGCAATATATAGTCTTAGTAGATTTTATGAAGATGGAATTTTTGTTGAAAAAGATTATAATAAAGCTTTTGAATTATATAAGAAATCAGCTGAAGGAGGTTATCCAGATGGAATAACAATGTTAGGATATTGTTATTATAAAGGTATTGGAACTACAATTGATAAACAAAAATCATTTGAATTATATCAAAATGCTGCAAATTTAGGAAGTAATACAACAAAATATAATCTTGCTTTAATGTTTGAAGAAGGAGATGGAATTACAAAAGATATAGGAAAAGCAATTTATTGGTATGAAAAATCTGCTGAACAAGGTGATCTAGATGCACAAGTTAAATTAAAGACATTTCAAGATGATCAATAATTTATTATAATGATTTTTCTTTTTAAATTATTAAATTGTAAAACTTTAAATAATATTTTATATAATCTATTTTATTTTATTTTATTCATTTTAAATTATTAAATTGTAAAACTTTAAATAATATTTTATATAATCTATTTTATTTTATTTTATTCATTTTAAATTATTAAATTGTAAAACTTTAAATAATATTTTATATAATCTATTTTATTTTATTTTATTCATGAGTATAATAATAGATCAGTTGCCACAAACTGCGCCGTACGTAACAAAATCACATGCTCAAAAATCACATGCCCGAGTTTTTTTGAATGGGAAGAATCCTAGGATCGATATACTGTATGTTTGGCAAATCACATAATAATGTGATTAAGCCATTTCCACTTAATGTGGCTGTGAAATGAAAACAAATGTTCTAAATATAATAGTATGATGCCAATTATTCAAAACCAGCTAAAACATGATTCATTGTGTAAAAATGTGGCATATTTACAATTATACACGATTGTTTTTTTAAAATAAGAAATCATCTATTTCCACATTATTAATTCAAAGTGACACCGACCGTTCGTTCAAATTGTGGCGCAATGGGCGCAATGTAAAAATCGTGGTAAAAATACTCTTGTACTGTACGTCTTCTTTACAAACATGAAAAATGTAATCATGAAATAATTTGAAATATTTGTTATTACAGAAAAATTTTCTTATATAAACACCTTGAGAAAATGGAAGTTTCTTCAAATCAAATTAAACAAACAACAAATTAAAAGTTATACATATCACAAAAAAAAAAATATATTATCTTAATCATGCAATTAAAACACTTACTGTTGATTTTCGGCATTACTATGGTTTTAGCGAGTAAATAAATTATTAAAAATTTTTTTCTTTTTTTATCAAATTAGTCAAACGATTTAATAATATTTTAATTCACCATTGACGCAAGACGCAGAACCAGAAGCCTGGAAGCAACGTGACGCGAACGCAGAACCAAAAGCCCAGTATGAAGGTTAATTTTAAAATTCACAATAAGTATACTATACTAGTAAACGGAAACCCGTTGTGAAAAATTCTGTACAAAAATTTCATTTATTTATTTTTTAAACACTATCTTTTGTACTTTTTCCAATTATCTGTATTTATAACTAATGTTGTTTAAATAAATAAGTTTTAAACCATGTAATTTACAAGCAGCTTAAAAATATTTTATTGATTTATTTAACTGCGCACATTTTTCTTATATTATCCTTAATTCAAGTTAATTTTAAAGAAACATATCTATGTAGTAAACTCTGCCTTTATAACTTTGTGCAATTTGCACATAGATATTATATCATATATTCGCCTGAAAAAAATGATGATGTGATATAATACTGCTCTCATATCGTTAATTAATAATATACCGAAAGAGAGAAATAAAATATAATAATTAATGTCTATATGAATTGGAGGTAAATAAAGAAAAATCATAAAAAACTATATAGATATATATATATATATATCAAATAACAAAATATCCCTATAGGTTTCCCAAGTACCAGAATGCAAAAAATTACTCGACGTCCATCGAATATGGGCGTTACAATCTACACGTCCGTCTATCCTATCATAAGGTTGCAAAGCAAAAGGAGTATAATTGACTCTGTTAGACCGAGGTTGTATGTGTAGTGTTTTTACGATCTCTTTTGAAATAATAGTGATAACGTTTTTTCTTATTTTTCATTATTCCTTGAGCGATTTCCTATTGTTTGAAGACGGTGGAGCGTTGGGTCCATGTGGCTGAATTAAGTTCTTTTATGAATGGAGTAATGGAAAGCGAAATCGCGGATATGGCGATTTCCAATGTAGTTGTAGAATAAAGTGGTTAATTCAGCAGGTATAAAATTGTGTACTATAAACAAATAACATGGATGGGTAATTGGTAAAGCGTTTGGAAATGTGTTACTATTTGAAATATTGAATAATAAAGAATCGTTGATTCTTTGTCGTAGATAAGAAAGTTAAACCAGTAGCGTGTTTATGTAAATATCAAACAAAATTGATTTGAATTTGTGTAAAGTGACACGAATTTTAATGGAGTGGTTAACACATAATCCATTGTTGTCATTGAATTGTCTGCATTCGACACATAGTATAGGACCCGTTGGATAACTTTAAAGAAACGTTTCTAACGTTTCATTTCTTAGTTTTTTTCTAGGGATTCCGGATTTCTTGTACATACTGGACTTAAAAGGTAAATTAGGTGCCTACAAGGCTTTCATATCAAAAAAGTCAATTTTATCTATACTACGGTTGATATCCTTCAACGAATTTATCCTCGACTCCACTAAACATTTGCCACTTTGTTTCCAATTTACTTTATACATTTATCAACTAATCCATCACCTATCTCTTTTATTTGATTAAAATCATTATATTTATAGTATTTTAAATGGTATTTTTTGTCCGCATTTTTGCTTAATTTGGACAGGCTCCGTCCAAGTTAATCAAAAATGCGGTCTTAACACATTGTTCTAGTGCATCAGTAGTCATGTTGATGAGAAATATAAGATGTACAGCATAATCTTGCCAAAACTACACTGTAAAGTGAAATACCAACTTTGTAATTCCACATAAAATAAATATAGAATAGTAATTTAATTTGTAAAAACGTGTATTATGAGAAAAAAAGCACTCACTTGACTTGTATAACAATATTTCATACTTCATTTTATTGTTGTTTAGCGTTTTTTATTGTTTTAGCAGATTTTTAAAAAATATTTTAAAATAAAAAAAAGGGAAAAGAAAAGAGGGAAAGAATTTTATTGCTGCAAATGGTAAGCAATGAACGATTAACTTTTATGGAGTTATTATTTTAGATTAAGGTATAAAAATATTAAAGATATTATTGCACATACTAACTTTATGTCAATGAAGTGATTCATTCATCTACTCCATGAATTTGACATATACAAGTTCCACTTAGCTACTGTAATAAAAGTAAAAATTGACTCCAGTATACTAAAATTAGCAGTATATACATTACATATTTGTTTATTTCTGATTTTCTTTTTATAAATTCTGTAATAATTATCTACCCATTCTCATATTAACTTCATCAATTATTATTTTGCAGATAAATGATTATATACATTGCTATTATTGTCATATAATTTATTTATAAAATGGTTATTATTTCTTAATTAATTATAAAATAAAAGTTCATAATTGGAATTTTCTTTTTTTTTGTAATAATATAATGAAAATTATTTTATTCCAAAAATGGTATTATATACAAAATACAAAATTTGAAGAAAAATGCTTTGATTTAATATACAAAATTGGAGTAAATAATTGGATGAAATTAATATATATAAGGATATCAATAATCTAATTTTAATTTTATAAACTCTTGATTTTTTTTTTTTACTAAAACTATTTTTTAAATTTCAAGAATTTTAAATTTTTTTTAAAAAATTATTCTTATTTTACTTTTTTAAAAAATAATAATAATAATAATTTAAAAACAAATTTTCTTTTTCTGCCCAATATATATATTATATATATATACATATATCAAACTAATATATAATATGTATATAACTTAGCTTTGAATTAATTAAAAATCAAAAAAATTATTGAAATATATTTTTTTTTATTTTTTATATGAACATTTATAAATCAAGAAACTATAATAAAGTATATAGTTTATATCAATTAATTCCAAGTAAAAATGACCAGGCACATTTAACATATTAAAGAAAAATACACATGAACAATGGTATAATATGTTTTATAATAATAAAATTAATCATATAAATTTTTTAATTTTAACATTAAATATTAGATACAAACAAATAATATATATATAAATTATTCTTTCTTTTGGATTTTTGAATAAATATAATATATTCATTTTAATATAAACTAGTATAGTAAGATAAGCCATAGAATATTAATAAAGAATTATGCAAAGAGAATATTAATAAAGCATTATGCAAAGAAAAACTATAATCTCGGTTTGCCAATGTGAGCAAAATGAAGAAACCTTGCCAGGGACTATATATATATCAAGTAAAAAGATATGCCAAACACAAGCTTCTCATAAAATTCTTATTATTGATAATTATAATTAGGCCGCTCCAATTTAATTATTTGTTTAACATACCCCTCACTTCTCTATTTTTCAAAAATCTGGATCCTATTAAACATATAATAATAAATATGTCTCCACGATTTTCCAGAATTTCCGGGATTTCCCGAATTTTTCCAAAAGTTATATTATATTTGTCTCTCTCAAACTCTTTATAAATTCTGGACGTTAAACAAACAATCAAATTGAAGGGCCTTACAATCCTTACATTTAACATCATCATAATAAATATAAAATTTATTAATTAATATATTTTAAGTAAAAAAGATGAATAATATGACTTGATACATATTAAATTAATACAGATTGTATTCAACATCAAAACTATATATAGTAAAATGCCTCATAGATATAATTTAATAATAAGCATATAACATCTCTTTATACTATATAGATCTATACAGATTAAAAAGCAATGCCAAGTGAAGATTATAGTATATTAAAATAATTAAACCTACATGTCAAACTTTAATAGTCTATTAGGAACTTGGCAATGAAATAATCATATAAACCAGCTTTTTAACAACATATACTTCAAATTTACAAGTATATGTAACAATCAATATAAAGAAAAGGTTATATTATACTCTTCATTCTCGATTAATACCTGGAAAGGCCTCAATAATCTTTTAATCTTTGAATTGAAAAACTTCCTAAAAAGAGGCAAGAGAACTTTTAATTGACCAAAGAAGTTTTCACTGCTTTAAGATATTGGAGATGCAAGAGTATTAGTAATAAGAATTATAAATAATATGATAAATTCTAAAAACAGGAAATCTTAAACATATCAGATTGAATAAAATAACTAATATCAATTCGAAAGAATAAAGATAACAATTTATTATTAGAAAGTTTTTGAACATGAAACCATGCAAATATATTATAAGTTACAAAAAAAAGTAGTACCTTACTAGTATTGAAATTTAAAAATATATATTTCAGTTTATAGAGCGAAAAATTATTTATTTTCTCAAAAAAGATTATTTTTAAAAGATGCATTCAAATGCTAACGATCAATTGTAATTTTATAATAAATGAGATAGATTTAACATATGACATTATTTTATTATTAGGAAACGTCAGTCCTTATCATATGGTCAATGCAACTTTAGCAGAAGATTACCATATAGTTTATAGTATATATTATAATGAAGCAAAATTTCGACATATTTTTACTGGTAATTTACGGTTTAACGTCGAAATAACATTAATCTTAATGAAACACAACAAATTTGCATAATTTGCATGATTTTTTTTTAAAAAATGCTAATACAATATAATCACATACATGTCCTTATCCAAAGAAAATATTGTTTCAATACGCGAAAGTAGTAACTTGGATTATAATATTAATATATATTAAAATATAATCTTTTTTTTTTTTTTAATAAAAAAGTACAAATACAATTATAAAAAATGTCGATATAATAAATTTTAGTATGTAAACGATACAAAAATAATTTTATACACTAACAATATCATCTTATATACTAACAATATCATCCTAAAAATATTATCTTATATACTAACAATGTCAGGGATAATGAAACGTGATTTTTCCTTCAATACATGATAGAATGTTACCATCAGGATTTATGACTGTATAAAAAAGAAAAATTAATAATTAAAAAACTTTATAATAAAACATTATAAAAAAAAAAATACATAATAAAATTAAATACTAACTTTGCGTTCTTATATCAGATTCGACTGTAGTATTTACGGGATCATCTGTTGATGATTCTGCCGGGAAATTTATGGTAAAATCATAATCACCATTTATTGGACAGGTGGAACCATTTGGTATAACAAACATTTGGCAAAACTCGAAGCTGTGTTGATGAAATACTTGATTTTCATGAAATAATGTTATATTAAACAACGCTCCATTTTCAATAGGTACAGTTGCTTTACCAGTAATATGAATAGTAGCCGTTTGGCCTATGATGATTGGATTCGGCGTGAAAGTATATGTGGTAATTTCATTTGGAAAAGTTCCAACACACGGACTGAGTGCTTGACGTCTTATATAAGTTGATGATGAGAATGTTGTAAAAAACAAGAAGATAAAAAGTAAAATATTCATCTTTATAAAGACTGTTTGAAAAGGGGATAAATTTGAAAGTGATGAAATACGAACAGAATTGTACCATATTTATATGTTAAAAAATGATGAAAAATTAAAATTCGTTAGCCGTTAAAAAAAACGCCTTTAAACTCATGTCAATGAAATGTAACTTTTTTTAGGTAGATAAAGAATAAAAAGAAGAAGAATATAATTACGCCTTCATATTATTATATCATATAATAATAACAATCAAAAGAGTTATCTCCCGTTATTCTAATTATAACTGTATCCACATTTAGAAAAACAATAATCATTGTACACATATTGCGAATGATCAGCCGATTTCGGTAATTCTTATAAGAATTTTCTTGTATGAAATTCTTGGTCAAATAATAAAAATTTTAATAAAATCTCGTAAATTATATTAAAATATTCAACTTTATGGATTAATACTCTATTTTAAAATAATATACAATCATGTACATAAGTCGATAATCGAATCTTCGAACCATTCTCAATTATTTGTTTATCAATCAATATCTTATTATTTATTGCCTTTTTTAAAAGCTTATTCGAATTTGGATGTACCCTTTATGCGTTTTATGCGTGTAACAGATTAGAATAGAATTCAGATTTTTCATTGAGGTACACTAAAAATAAATAAATAAATAATAAGGTTCGAATTCTTGTGTAACATGTGGCGCTTGTAAGAACATTCGCTTGAAAACGAACTTGGTTTAATTAGAAATGCAAAAACTGATGCCGTTGACCAAAATAATTTAAAAAAAAATGTTTATAGGAATTATCATTTTAAAAATGTATTTTATTCTTTAAAATTATATTTCGATATTATAGACTCTATTAAAAATTAAAATATGATACGAAAAACGTCATTTATCATTTTCATGTTAATATCTCATAATATATTTTTATTCTTCTTTAACTTTGTTTTTTTATGTCGTGCTTAAAATGAAATTTTCAAATAAATTATGACACATTAGTTGAAAACATTCTTAGTGTATTCTCTATAAAATTCTTTAAATTCCTTAGAAGCGGCACCCCATGAATTTTTTGCCATCTTGGAAGTATTACTGACGTTGGTATTTAATGCCCATAGTAAGTGTATCCTAAACATAATAAAGCTATTGCACCGCAAAAAATTTCTGTAACGTAAAGAATTAACAGGGGTTAAAGCATAGTAATAAAGCCATATTGTGGTATACTTAAAAAATATTGCCCATTTATTAATAGATAACATTGGAGAACTATTTAATAATTCCACCATTTGAATTTTATGATATTATTAACTGTTAAATCAAAGAAATTTCTTAATTTTACACGGGGTGTTCATACATGTATCACGTGACTTTATTAAAAAAAAAAAAAATTTTTTTTAATAAATATAATTTTAAAATAATTGTAGTGTGTATTTTCTGCAAGTTTACTTAAAGCGTCAAAGTTGATTTTGAATGTCAATTTTGATTTATTTTTTTTTTCCTTTTTTTTTTTCCTGTTTTTTCCGTTAGTTAAATTCAACATTAAATGATCAGCATAGAAAATTTACTTTTTTGAAATACCGTGTTTGTGTACAAATAGAAATCGAATTGCTTAACGTTACTGTAATACAAAAAAAATATTTTGCGGATTTTTTTTTTTTTTTTAGATAGCCCTTATACAAAAAAAAATCCATGTGAAAGATTAACTGTTACACCTCTGCAACTGCGGTTAATAACCGGTAAAAACCGGAACATTGTCGTACCAGTTTAATCGATTTGAGAATTTTCACATGTGGAATGATTTCAGTTGATCTACGCATTCACAGCCATATAATAATTTAAATAAGAAAAATTTTATAAAAATTTTTGTTTTACTTATATGAATTATTTTATTTAATATAGCGGTGCTTCTTGTACCGGTAAAACGGTATGTAATATATTTTTAAATTTTTTTTGCAAAGAAAAATATATTTTTTGATTATATATTAATAAAGTATCTTTTTTTTTCCTAACATATATACAGACATTTTCTATCCCGATTTCTTTGTTTAGCAGATTTTTCATACCAATAATTGGCTTGATTTATATCCTTTTTGACTCCTTTTCCATATTCATATATTGAAGCAAGATTATATTGAGCTGAATCATCTCCTAAATTTGTCTGCTTCTTGAAAAAGTTCAAATGCCTTTTGTTCATCAATTTCAGTTCCAATACCATTTTCATCTAAGCTGTTTACTCCAATTGCATTTCCCAAATTTGCTGCTTTTTGAATTAGCTCAAATGCCTTTTGTTTGTTAATACTAGTTCCAATACCACTTTCATAACAAATTCCCAAACAACATGTTCCATATGCATCTCCTAAATTTGCAGCTTTTTGATATAGCTCAAATGCCTTTTGTTTATCAATACTAGTAACAATACCAAATTCATAACACTTTCCTAAATTGATCATTCCAATTGCACATTCTAAATTTGCAGCTTTTTTGTATAGTTCAAATGCCTTTATCAATTTTAGTTCCAATACCATTTTGATAACACACTCCTAAGTTGTTTATTCCACGTGAATTTCCTAAATTTGCAGCCTTTTGATATAATTCAAATGCCTTTTGCTGGTCAACACTGATTCCAATTCCTTCATCATAACAATATCCTAAACTAGTTATTCCAAATACATTTCCAGAGTTTGCCGCATTTTGATATAATTCAAATGCTTTTTGTTTATCAACATTAATTTCAATTCCGAAATGATTAAATATTCCAAGTAAAACGACAGAATTTGAATTATTTAATTATCTAATAACCAATTATAAATTTCTTGTAAAGTTATGTTATGATTATAAAGGTAATTGATAATTTCAATTTTTTTTCTTTCTCTTCCTACAGTTTCAAGAAGGAGAATTATTTCATTAACCATTGTATCAAAGTTATTCTCTGATGGTATTGAAGTTTCTGTATTCATAATAAAATTTTTAATAACTTGGGATATTTCTCCATGCATTATTAATAATATTTTCTGCAATAATCCGCTGTTCGTTAGATACTTTAATATTTTCTGCAATATTCAGCTGTTCGTTTGATACTTTAATATTTTCTTTTAGAATAATTTCATTTAATTTCTCAACAACCTGGTTGGAAGTTGGACGATTATCTGGTTCACTATTCCAGCAATCTAAAATAAAAAATATTTAAACTTTTAATTAATCAATATTATAATTATAAATCATAACTAAATTTAATTCTCTTTACCAGAATATATTTTTATATAGTCTTCAGGTGTATTAGAAATAGGTTTCTCTCTCAGACCCTGCAATATTTCCATAGCCAAAGCAACATCATATGGTTCGTTACTAAAAGGTGGCTGTCCACTAGATATTTCCCATAAGATTATACCAATACTATAAATATCACTCTTTTTATTTAATGAATATATTTGTTTTTGGTTGTTGCTGCCCTTTTTCTATTAAATATTTGTGGATCAATGTAAGCAATCATTCCAAATAATTTTGATTGAACATTGGATGATTCTTCTATTCTCTTGGATAATCCAAAATCTGCCAATTTGATAGTATTTTGGTGAACTAAAATATTATTGGAATGCTATTATAAAATAATAAATAAAATAAATGGTTGTATATAATTTCATAAATAAATACAATTAAGCAAATTGAATAACCTACTAAATCACGATGTACAATCTCTTCGTCATGTAGGCACGTTACAACATGAGCTAACTGAAATGCCAGACTTAATTTATCATTCCAAGTAAGATTTACAAAATTTTCACTTAAATAATTTCGAAGGGTACCATTATTGGCATATTCCATCACCAGTAAATATTTTTTTGAATTATCATTTTGATTTTCTTTTGAGAGAAAGATATTATTTTAGATTTTTTCATTCTTATTAAAATAATACTTTGAAATATTTCTAATACCTGTTGTAACACCATAAAATCGAATAATATTCTCATGAAAATCTATTTCACGTTGAAGTTTAATCTAAAATAAATAAAATTTTAAGTCATGAACGTAATATATATATATATATATATATATATAATTAAAGATAAAATATTTATATATTATAATTACTTCATTAACAATTTCTTTAATTGTGATGTTGTTGTAATTATAAAAAGATTTCAATGCTAAATAATTACGAAAATTTTTCCAATTTGCGCGATATACTTTTCCACAACTTCCGAAACCAATTTCTTGGATATTATTGAAATGTTTATAATCATAATATTTAAAATAATTTTTTGTAACGGCCTCTTCAATCCAATTGATCCATTCATTTGAATTATTAGTAACTTTAATTTCAGAGTTATTAAACATTGTTAAAGTGCTTAAAGTGCAGAAAATTCTCTACAAGAAATTTTTTTTTGATTTTTTGTGGCTTAATATATAAAATTTTGTATTACTAAGCTATGATTTTACCTGTGTAACGGTGACGTTTAGATTAACTTGTTTTGAATTGCGCGGTACGTAATTCTTATGATTTGATCGGCAAATTCATGCTGAATTACTGTATGATTATCATTTTGTGATTATTGAAAGACGTCAAATTTTCTAAATCATCTGATATTTATTGTATGGGCTGGGCATGATTATGTGGGAATTAATAACTGTATTGCTAATGTGGGACATAAAATTATTGATGGAAAATGACCTAATATTACTGATGACACTCCTGAAGATTTTGCTAATTTAATGAAAAGATGTTGGAATCCCGATTCTGATGTTTGTGAAATTTTTAATTCTTGGTCAATATTTACAACATTTTAACATTTAATAATTATTATCATCTTAGATAATAAACTTATTAAAGAATCAATCAACGATAAAGGTATTAAAGTCAGTATGTAAAGGAATTTATTAATTACTTGATTCTTCTTCTTTAGAATATATTACAAAAGAATATGAGTTTGATATAAATGAAATTTAAAGGTACAATTAAATGTTTTCTATATTGCTTTTAACAATTGTTTTGATCAATTCATAAGTAAATCCAATCAATCCAAGGAAACAAGATGCAACTGAAGATTTTACTAAATAAATTTTTTGTCAATTTTATTTTATTTTGTTTTATTTATTTATTTATTTATTTTTAAAAAAAGGAATGCATATTAAAGTTAGTAACAATGTTAACACAGAATCTTATGAATAGACACTTTTGTTATCATGTTCTGCTTTTATTAAGTTATTTATTTATTTTTCTTTTTTTATAAAAAATTTATTTATTATTACAATTACTATTTGTTGAAATAAAGATTATAATTATGTCTAAATTGTAAATCTTAAAATTCTCGCTAGTTGCTATAATTTTAACATCATATTATTTATTTACGTATACTACATAAAAAAATGCATATGTAGCTATGGATAAAACTAATTATATACCAAACCTGTGTACGTGAATGTACATAGACTTTCTCTAATGTGAACCAATTCATGATAATAGAGATATCTGCTATAAAACACTTTTGCACTGAATATGACTATTCCAAATTATCATACACCAAAATCATAAATGATAGTATGTATTTAAATGATATTTAAAGATAAAAATAAATTAATAACTATGTGAGGAAACAGGTTGCCACTCTGCATGCTGGATTAAATACAGTAAATACTTAATCATCAAGCAAAATTTTTAATTTTTCTATATTTCTTTCATTAATTAATTTCGTAAAAACAATAACAATTGATAATGGTTCTTTTGTACCAAGTTTTAATTCACCAAGGTAAGAAGTTATATTTTGAAATCTGTCATATTTATTTTGAATTCAATAAATATCACTATAATTAAATTCTAACAAGTAATTCTCTTGATTATGTTATCTCAATTCTCATCATCATAATCAGATTCTAACAAATAGTTCTCTGTTTAGCTACAAAAATTTATTGCAACACTAGGAACATTTTTAAATTTGATTTTTATTTACTATTTGATAAAAAGAGCTAATATCTCAAAATAGATTACATCAACAAAAACTGTGTATTAAACAATTATATATGGACATATAAAAGAAATTTTTTAATTTTATTAATAAGAATATGAGTACATCATGATAGTCTAAATATAATAATAATGATCAAAACCTGTAACTTTAAATTTCCTAATAACACCTAATTTAATATATTTATTAATTATTTCAATATTTTCATCATTTTTATCTAAGCTATTTTCTTCATCATATATAATAATTAAAGAAAGTGATTTTTGTGGTACACGATTTGTCCAATTTACAAAAAAGGACTCTAATTCTTCCGGAAGTAAATTAAATTGAAAGATAAATACATGATTTTCACAACCGTTTCTAATGCTTGTTTTTCGCTCAAAAATTCACCTCCACACCAAATTTTAATACTTTCTAAATATTTGCAACTATTAAAAATTATTTTTAATGTTTCCAATTCATTATTTTTAATTCTAGTGGAAAGTTTTCTAAGCATTGGACAAAACTTAGAAATAGCTAAATTTAATAAATTAAATGATTTATCATTACAACATATATAAATTTCTTTTAGATTTTTCCCATTATTTTCTAAGAATTTTATTGGTATTCCATTGCTTGGAAATGCATTACGAATTTTTAAAACTTGTAATTGTGAAAAAATAACATATTGTAACTTTTCAAAACCAACAATGCATTTTTTAAGTGATAATTTAAGTTCTTATAAATTTGAGAAATTGGCAATAAAAGACAATGATGGAATATAATAAATTCTACTATCAATATCTAATTTAATTAAAGTTTTAGGAACTTTTGACATTAATGAAAAAATTTTATTTGCCACGTTATACTCATGATATAGTAATATACCAAAATGCTTCAAATTTCTCTGAACAGAAATTATATCTACTATTCCAATTCGAAATAATTCTTTTAAATTCTATAGTAAGTGATTGTATATTATAACATGTTTGAGATAGTTGATAAAATAATTCTGTGGAAATATCTGAACTACAGCTTAATTCTGAGAGATTTTTTAAACAATCTTTTGCTCCAGGACATAAGGAAAAAGTTATATATGGATATGGGTAAAAAAAATAGAGTTCTTAAAGAAGGGATTTCTTTCATGAACATTTGGAGTACTTCCTGCATAACTATAAATGTATAATTTTTAAGACTTTGTAATAGAATATTTTGTTGATTTTTAAGAAGCCTTCCAATTTTGTAATAAACTCGATTAACTGATAGAACTTTGCAAAATGATGCATAATTGAAAATGGGAGGTTTTAAAGTTGGAGTTAAAATAGTAATTTCATTTTTAGATAAAATTTCTTTTGACTCATTTGGAAGGCAAGTAATTAAAGTACTAAAGTTCGAAGTAGTATAATTCTGTTCATTTCTCCACAAAATTCTTACTGAAACTTCACACCAAAGACGATTAACTAATATGCATGAATACAAAGTATGTATGTCATCTTCCAAGTATTCAAAAATCTCATTCCAGCAATCAGCAGGAAGTTTAGACATTGTTTTTTTTAATATAACAAAAAAAAGAGTTCAAACTTTAAAATGAGGCGAAAAGTTCGTTATTTATGATTATGCCGATCGTTAAGGTAACATGTAAAGCTAATATGATTGGCTGTTTTCTTTGCATACAACTTAGTCACAACAACTAAAATTGATGAAATTCAAATCACTACTACTCACTAACGATAAATGTAAAGTATAACTATACAATAATAAAACAAAACAAGCTTAACAAAACTACAGTTTTAAATTTCTATAAAATGTTTTTTAATAAATTAGTAGAAGTTCAAAGTTAGAATATTTTACTATTAAATTAAATATTTGGCCACTTTTAATATTCTGACCAAAATTATGTGTAAATCTGGCTAAAATTATATGCTAAAATTATATATAAGTCTGGCTAGAATTAAAAAAATTATAATCTAAACTATATAAATCTAGCCAATAAAATTGCAAGTTTAATGTATCATGTGATATAAATTGATATTTTAAATTTGGCCACTTAAAAATTTTTTTGTTGTGACTAAGTTTCATCATTTTCGACACCAGGGTGGCATTGTCAGATTTGGCGGTTTGGTTCACAATTTAATTTAGAATTACTTTAGATAGGCTTACGTATAGTTCGTCCCTGTAATTTGTATCGTGACTTTGTTCACATGGAAATTAAAAAATAAAAATAAAAATAATTTTCTTGTGACTAAGTTATATGCACTGTATGTGTTTAAAAAATTGAATTTTTGATATGAAATTTTGCACGACTAAAGAGTGCTGTAACAGTTCAGACTAATAAACAAGAGAGAATTTTTTATAATTTTTTTTTTATTATCATATTTCTTAAATTTCATAAAAAAATATCACTATTTAAATTTGACATTATTAATTTCTTTAGTAGTGAAACGATATCATATAGAAAATATGACTTTAAATTTAAACTCGAAATGAAATATGAAATGAATTTAAAATACAAATATTTACATATATGCAGAAATTTAAAATTTCTAAGAAAAATTAAGTATTTAATACGAGGTTGAAATCTTTAGTGTTTCAATCCATTACCAGGTTCAACCAAATGAGCCCAGATAATTTTATTTTTCTAGATATCTGAATATTTACGATTTTTAAATCCGATTATAAATACACAGTGAAATTTAATAAACCGGATCTTCGATAAAGCCTAAACTGGACTTTTTTCTGGAACCAAATCACGTATATTAAAATAGTTTTAATATACCGGAGTTTACTAGTAAAAGCTCGATATTCGCTATAACAGATCAATTTTCTAACCAGCTATAGGGTAAAAATGATTCGATAAACCGTATCACGTGACCATTAACCAATAAAATTTAAGTAACGTGATGCGGTAAATCTTAATTTTGGCCAGAATTATAAAAATCTTAATTCCGGCTGAAGTTATGTATTACTTATTTCTTCAATTAAAAATATTTTATATTCATTTTCATAAACTATAACGTATATTAGTTTATTAGCACGAAAATTATTTGTCAGTATATTGATATTTTTTCGCTATACCAGATTTTTAGTGGAACCGTTTATCGAATTTCACTATTGTAAGACCTAAGCCCGTGATAATTCACGTTTGCCACCTTAGGCTTAACAAAATAATACTTTATTAATAATATAAATAAATACAATAATATGCTTGGTTTAAATGTTTAATAATACTAAATATAATCAAAATAATTTCCTAATATTCAATAAATCCCTAAATTCGTAACATAAGATCACAACTTCAATTTATAATCTCAAAATTCATAACTTAAATTTTCAATTTCTAAAAATTCGTAACTTCAAATTAGTAACCTGAAATTTTATCAAGTCTCCTTTTGCATCTTTTGACATCTTAATAGTTCCCGTTCCTTAACTTTAATATTCAAAATGTAAATAAAGATCTTCATATATCAATGATTACACATATCCGTAGTTACCCCTTAAATTGATCATCAGAATTTTCAATTCCTAAATCGTCATCTCGGACGTTACCTTTATAACGTCATACAATTTTAAAATACTAAAAATTTATACACTAATTCTACTACGCCTCATAATTAATAAATTTACTAGGTATATTTCGGCATTACACTATGTATCTGGATTTTGACCCAGAATCCGGATAATAAATTTTTTTTAAAAAAACATTTTTTTTAAATCAAAAACTCGATTTTTGATTTCAGGATCGATAGAGACAAAATTAAATTCAAAAATATTTTTGATTATCATAAAATTTTTCACTACCTCACTAACCATAATGGTAGTGGTGCAGCAATTTTGATGACCACGAGACCACGATAATGGATAATTTTTGTCCTTTATTATGCCCTTTATTATGTTTAATTTATATTTATCGTGATGCATTTTTGGCTTAATTTATAGTTATTGTGATACATTTGTACAACTGCTAAAAAAATAATTTTTCAAAATTTAAAAACTGGTAACATGATTCAGGTAAAATCCATAAATTCCAAAATTATACACTTGATTTTATCAATAAAAATTATTTTGATTATCTAAAAAGTTAAATTTGACAAAGTTATATAATAAATTTATCAATAATTGTTTTGGTAAATTTTCAAATGAAAAAATAATACTGTACGATCAACAAAAAAAATTAATAAAATATTAACGTAAGGATGGTCCGCCAAGAGATTTGCGTTACCTTTAAAACAATTTCTTTTTTCCAATTGTATTATATATTTTTTTGCCTTAACTAATTTTATTTAAACTATAATACAGTAATAATGTTTACTAATCTTAAAACCTTAATGATATTTACATTTTATTTTTAATATTAATAATTACATTTCATTCACAAAATATAATACTGCGGAGAAAAGAAAAAAAACGCATAATGATAATTGATTTACCATTTTAGGTTTGATCTTGTGGGAACTGATTGTGACAATCATAAAACAATCTTAGGTAAGTTCAAAAGTAGATGTAAAAAAGCGTATTTATTTCCCGCAAAAAATTATCGACTCCCTTCAAAGTCAATATTAAATTAAAATTTTCGATCTTTCATTTTACTTACTTTTATTTCTCCATATAAAAAAAACTATGTATCAAACGATCATTCTAGGATCCATTCTATTGGTATCATTTTATATTTTAAAGCGTTTTCGCAAACCAAAACTCGTAAGAAAATTATCTTATTAATCTATATTGAGTTGTTTTTATTTTATTTTATTTTATTTTATTTTTTTATTTTCTTAGAATATGCCACCTCTTGTTCGTTATAAAATTCCAATTATCGGTCATACTTATAGTTATATGTTTAATTCCGAAGAATTCATCAAACAATGCAAAAATGAGGTTAATAAAATAATAAAAAAGATTTTTTGTTTTCTTTTTTTTTGCGTCAAATCTATTAACAATTTTAATTTTCGTATTAATTAGTATGGTGAAATCTTTAGTATATATATATGGGGTGAAGTGAGAACAATTGTCGGTAATACATTTTTATATATATACTGTATATAAATAATCATTATATATGTTTATGACCAATAAAATATTATATGTACTTTAATAGGAAAAGAATATTCGCAAGAGGTATTAACAAGAGACGATGCGTTTAGTTTTGGGAAAGCATTTGTCGAAACAATTCCGCTTGACTTATTACTTAAACATGCGGGTGTAACAAATGTGCCAAAATTGCTTAAAGATTATATTTTTTGTAAATTAAATTTTTATTCTGAGCGCATGCAAAAATGTCTTCATTCTGCCATTCAAAAATATATTAATACTAATGTTAATGATGGTCCAAAAGTTTTTAATAATATGTATCTTTTAATGACTAAAATTATTTCTACCCCTGTTTCAAATATTTTTATTGGTGAAGTAAGTATATATATATTTATTATTTTAAAAAATTTTTTTTTTTTTATTATTAAATATTTATTCCTTTCAAAAATTTACTTTTTTTTATAGGAGGAATCGAAACATGATCAACATTTGCAGGATTTATAAGTGATTTATTGACACTTCAAAAAATTCCACCATTACTTAATTTTTATTATCCAGGATACCTCAACCGTATTCTCGTTAGTTCAGGATTATATAATCCAGCAATTAAACATAGAAATATATTAATTAAATATATTAAAAATCAAGTTTGTAACCGTTTGCAAGGGAAAGCAAAATATGGTGATTCTTGGAAACGTCCTGATGATTTACTTCAAGATATTATAGAACAAGAAAATATTGATCTTAATAATGTTAATTATTCTTCATTAGCTGATAAAATATTTGCGTTTCTTTTCGCTTCAATTCATACGACATCAACCGGTTGTGCAAATGCTTTAATGGATTTAGCTTCTCGTCCTCAATATATGCAAGAATTATATGAAGAACAATTGGAAGTACATAAAGAAGCTGATGAGAATGGTGTACTTCCATTTGAAGCTCTTGATAATATGAAAAAATTAGATAGTTTTATTAGAGAAACTTTAAGATTAACTGGTCATATATTAGCACTTGATCATTCTGTATTAAAAGATTACACTTTCTCTAATGGATTACAATTACCAAAAAATCATACAGTTAAGATTTATGTTGATGATATTTATCAAGATGAATCATTACAAGGTCCAAATCCGAAATCATTTGAACCATTTAGACATATAGATAAAAATGCTCCTGCATCAAAAATTAGTAAAAATTTTGTTCTATTTGGAGCTGGTAAACACGCGTAAGTTTATAATAATATTTAATTTATTTTTTTTTTGCAAATACTGTATGTTAAAATTAATTTAATTAATTTAATTATTATTAAATTATTTAGATGCCCTGGAAGATATTTTGCTATAAGCGAAATCAAATTTTTTATGCATAACATTATCTTAAAATATAATATTCGCACGGAGAGTGGTAAAATTGAAGGAAGAAAGTTGTACGGTCCAACTGCATACCCAAGTCCTAGTGGAATTATTATCGAAAAGAGGAAGGCTAAGTGAAATTTAAAAAAAAATGAAATATGCGTTGTATATGTAAATTTTTTTATTCGATTGTAAGTTATGAAATTTAAAATAATGAAAATTATAAAAATGTGTTTCGTTAAATTAAATAGAAACTTATTATGAAAGATAATTGTAATTTACTACAATTCAATATTTCATTTACAGTAATATCTAAACAGACAATAAAGTGATATTTATACTAGATCTCAATTTATATTTAAAATTTTTTAAAAATTTTTTATTAACAATTATTTTTCCAAAAATCTTTATAAGATCTTAACAATTTATATTACCTTTACACTTGGTGCAAAAATATTGCAATTTTTCCTTTTTAGATAATTCCATAATTCCAGCAGAAAATTTTATAATTGATATTATCGACTTATCGTAATCCAAAAAATGAGTAGAGATATATTAGTAAACTTATCCCGGTGATCCAAATCTTTATAAATATCTGAAAATTTATTTTGTAAATTTTTTAGCCACATTGATTCAGATTATAAACAACGATTAATTGAAAAAAATGATTCGATAACTTAGATCACATGATTATAGTTAAAAAATGGTAAAGTTATATATAGGAATTACTTTAACCAACCCCGAAGTAGATAATGCCGCAATATTCTAAAAATGAGCAAAGTAATTCGTAGTTTATAATTTTTACCGAATGCCAATAATCTGATTGATTTTCTGCGCCTCCGTGGCGTAGCCTACATCACGTGAATTTATTTTTCCCACTCCTATGAATATCGCTTGACTAACGAGTAAAAAATCAGTGGTTATGGCCCAAAATGGCATGTTACTCGAAGAGCTGAATGACGTTAAACTAGATAATCAATGCGTTTCGTCGGAATTTTTTAGATGGTAACAGTTAAACAATTTAATTATCTTTGCACAGCTGGGAAACAAGTCTCTTTTATACTTCATTTATACCTGCGCATGGAATTGTGAATTTAACCGGATCATATAAGATCACGTTATTTTCATCTTAAGAGAAAATTCGAATAACGGCTTCGAGAAATTAAAAAATCTTCCTTTTTCATTTATTTACTGCGATCACACACAATGGCGTGCTTTACTATGCAACCACTAACCCTAAAACGGTTTAATGAGCGATTAGACTACATATGTGAACTAACGTAGATGAGATAGCAAAAATCTCTGAAGATTATGTCATTTTCGGAGCACCCAAAATGGTAATTTAAAATGTATAATACAATGAATACTATTGAACCCCTTTTCATTGTAAATGCAGGCTGATCGAAATCTGTAATGTAGTAGATGAGCTGCTTTAATCGCCCATTTTTACCGTTTCAGGGATAAACTATACAAGTAATTTCTTGGCCGTCTTGGTAAATTATAATTAAAAAAGATGTCAGAAAAATAATAAAGATTTTTGGGCATCTGATTTTAACAATATTGAAAATTTTAAGATCCCAAATTTATTAAAGCATAAAGTGGTTGACGCTTCTATTCTTAGTTCTTTTAAAACATATTTGTGAATAGCTCTAACGATTTTATATATCAAAAGGAAAAAATTCAAACTTTATATTAGCTTCACCAAGCTTTTTCCGCTTTGATACGTTTATTATGTTTGGTTAAGAAATCATCTAAATTACGGTATGGCCGTTTTTCAACAATTTTACCAGCGGTAACAACGTCAACATCAGGAATAATATTTTTAATTTTTGTCAGTTAGGATTGATATCTTTGGCAAGATAAAATGTAGAACGTAATGAAAAAATGGGACTAAAGTATTTCCTTGAAGCTAGTTATTGAAATTTTGTTCACGTAGAATTTATCGTAAAAGTCCTAAATTTTGATTGGTTAATTTTAAAATAGTTGTTATTCTATATTAAATATAATTTATTGTAATTATTGTATAAAAAAATAAAAAAAAAATATTTTATTTGGTAAAGTAATTTTTTCTTTTAAAAAAAAAATACAAAATTAATAAATCAAGTGATATATTTTAACCTAAAATTTTTTTTAAAAATCACTGTCAAAAATTATATGTTAATTAAATAAAAATAATTTATTGTATTTATTGTAACAAAAAAATTAAAAAATATATTTATTGAAAGTAATTTTATTTTTTTTAAAAAAAAAAAATAAAAAAAAATGAATTTAATTTTCCTAAATATAATTTGTATGAATTTTTCTTGAAACTTTAACAATGGTATTTAATTTGTTGATTAAATAATCATTATACGAAAAAAATATATATATATATATATTTTTGTTAAAAACAAGATTTTCCCTCTGTTCCTTTACTTGCATTAACAGCTACATGTTCACCTGAAGATGCAGCTAAATTTATACAGTCTTAGAAAGACCAAACATAAAAGTTATCAGAAGTCCTATAATTCATCATCAGGATATTGCATTGGAAGTTCAACCAAAACCAATAGGGAAAAAAAACTTTACCAGGCAAGTATTTAATCTTTTAGATAATCATGAAGGAGAAGGACGAGTAATTATATTTTCCGCTACCATTCAAAATTGTATTGATATTACTGATGAATTGCGAAAAGCATTTGACCCTTCACCCTTCTATTGTAGCTATGTATCATGGAAAGATGTCTAGTTCGAACAAGCTGCCACCTCTAATGCGTGGAAAAATGGAATAATTAGAATAATGTCAGCAACATCTGTATTTGGAATGGGAATAAATGTACTCGATGTTACTTTAATAATACACACCACTTTACCTTTATCAAATGAACAATATGTACAAGAAATTGGGCGTGTTGGTTATTTAGGCCAAGGATCAAAAGCCATAATTTTCTATTCACGTGGAGACATTCGTACTTTATTAGTAATTATTGGTGGAGGACAGGAAAAGTAAGTAAATCCAATACTAAAAAATATTAGTTTGTCAAATCATGAGGAAATGTATCATTTATAAGATACCAACGTGACCCTAAAGAAAAATTATGTTAATGGCATTGTATACAGATTCCATTTATGAATGCCGTCAGCAACTTACATACCAATCGTTCCAATGGTTCCAATGGTTATACGATCCTCCAATTTTACAATGTATGATTTGTGATAATTGTTTGCGCCGAGAAAAGGATACACCGTCAATATATGACGCACAGTCTGAAGCTGTGCGAATGATACGAATAGTTATTTGGGGTCTCTTATATGCTGTACTAATAAAAGCATAACATGCATTATATTACACGAGAAGACATAATAGATGTTTTCTATAATAAGAAAAATAACAATGTCAACCAAAAAAATTTGAATAAATTATCTTTATATTCAGAAGCTCGTATTCAAATTAGGTTACGGCCACAAAAGTTGGTATGTACCTGCTTGATTGGTTAATTACTGAAGAAATTATATACCAATTTATTGAACTAGGACAGATTCCTCAATATTGACTTATATATGTAGAATAGAAGGAGTTAATGTAAATGCCGAAGATTTGATTTTAGCAAAAAATTGGAATTTGTATATAAAATAATAAAGAACAAAAGTTGTGTAAAGCAAAATTATAAATATTTTATTTAAATTAATAATTATTTTTTATCGAAATGATAAATTTTTATAAAAAAATGATTAATTAGTTCTATTTTTAAACGGGTTACACGATCATCAACTAAATATCAACAAAAAGACCCTACCCTTAGTAACCTTCTGGTTTTAATTTTCTTCATATTAAGACCATATTCAAGCGCTTTAATTTTGTAATAAATTTATTTAGATTTTATTAATAAACAAAAATTACAACGTCAATATACGATTACCTCCTCTGAGACTGGCAACTACTGGTTGGGACGGTACGGAAATATTACTGTTCTTGACTTTACTCGAAAATTCTTCTCTAATTCTTTTTTGTAAATACCTAGATTCATTAAAACCTCCGACCAAGAACATAGCAGAAATGGGACCACTATTATTAAGTTGTTCACATATTAATTTAATAATCTTGTTAACTACAGGATCAAATATTCTTTTAACATCTTCAAATTTAAGTTCTATGATCCATTCATCTTCTTCCAATTGTTCTAATTTATCACCCGTGACATATTGTTTTATAATTGGACAAACATATTCTAAATCCAATTCGACAGTTTTATACTCTTCTTTATTTCCCGTAAACAAAAACTTTACTTTTTTACAAAATTCCTTAACCATATATTGTAGTTCTCCGTAATGATTTTCCTCAAGCAATGTCAAAACCGTAGATCCTATTTTCCTTGCAATAAAAGCAAGAAAACTTTTGTCAACATAAACTCCTCCACAAAATCCACTTGCTCTAATTGTTTTTTCTTCCAATTTATCATTTTCCAATAACTGCCATGTGGTTAAATCCACTGTGCTATTTCCGCAATCAACAATTAAGAAGTTGGCTAAATCAAAATTTATAAAATTTATTAGTAATTATTTCATACTCTGAAATAAGCATTAGAAAAAATTAAATATACATACTTCCCATACTTCCCACGGTATCTAAATTATGCTCCTTTAGCACTTTCATGCAATATACAGCTTTTTTTTTTTTTTTTTTTTTGAAAGAAAAACGTTAGATAAATTCCAAATAATAATTTGTAGTTGAACTTGATATTAATTACCAGCTGCCTCAGCTATTAAAACCAGAATGAAAAAGTTTATTGATTATTTTTATAAATTAAAATCGGATATGAGACGTTAAACATTGAAATATAAACTCACGTTCAGTAATAAATTGTAATTTTTCAGAACTTTTTACGTTAATTAAACCTGCTTCATAAATACATTCCCTCATTATTGCCTTCGCTTGATCGGAGAATACTGCGGGAACTGTTAATATAATCAAAACTTGTTCCATGAACTTTACATTCGGCCATCTGGTTGCTATTGTCTCCTTGATTAACTATTTATAAAGAAATCCAATAAAAATGAAAAAAAATTTCAATAACAAAAAAGACCATACTTAAATAAATACAAAAATGCTTACTTCTCCCATACATTTCAAGTAATCAGTGATGGCTTTCTTATAATTTATGCCTTTAGGCAGAACAGGTTTCTCATTATCAGGAATATTAGATAAATGTAATTTAAAATGTTCGACCGGTTTTGAAGCAGTCTGATTTTTTGATTTTCCCTTTACTTTTTTTTGGTTTTTAGCTAACGCCGGAAACCCCCATTCTACAACATTTTTAAAATTTTTATCATATTGTAATGCTGTATTTGTTTTTAATGGACCGATTTGGTCGGGCCAAGTATCATTCGTAATAATTTCGTTATCTATTTTATGTGCATATGCAAATCCCTAAAAATTTTGCAATGATTTAATGAAAATTCAATAGTTTAAAATAAGAAGATTAAATAGAATAACTTACAGAATATGTTGTTCCAAAATCTCTTGGTTTGAATAAATGAATTTTTTTAGCAATGATTTTCTAAATAATAACAGTATTTAAAAAATGAATTTAGATAATTACCAATGGATACTACGACACGATTTTCCATTTATGGAAAAAAGAGTCCAGAGAATTCTATCAAAGGAAAAAAAAAGCAAGAAACGAAAAATAGTTCAACGGAATTCTTTCAGAGAAAAAGGAAAACCAGAAATGAAAAAAGTCCGAATAGATAAATAAATAAATAAACACGAATATGTTAAGATCTGATTCGTTCTCATCACGTTTGTTGTTAGCAAAATGATTCCGTGTCACATTATACTCTCTGTGTTATATAAACAAAGTTATCAGCAAGTGATGTACTACAACATTCACATCTTCCAATAAAATAAAGCGAAATTGGTAGTAAACTTTAATCTTCACATTATGTTTAAAAAAAATACAGATGTTGACGGACTGATATATTTTACTAATAGCTAAATAATTGATATTTTTTTTTATCGGCTAAATATCACTAAATTAAATCTTTTAATAAATTTTGCAGTTTAGTTATACTTTATCGTAGAGTAAAAAAACAGACAATAACTTTTTCCTGTTTGGTAATCTGTTGTACTCTTTAAAATACTGTATTACAATTTTTTTTTATATTTTTTTAAAATAAAGTGACCCATAAACTCCCAGGTAAACGATCATCAAAACACTTGCAACGTATACTCTTTTTTGGTTTTGATCTACACAAGAGGTCGGGGAGCTTGGCATGATTTTAAAAGATCTTTTAAATGAAAGTTATTGTAAAAAAAAAAAAAAAAATGATTTATAAATATGCAAATTGTTGATCTCTCTTTTATAAATAAGCCTCGTTAAAATAAATAAATTTTTTAAATCTAGCTTTTTCTTAAATAAAATGATGTTTTCTATTTATAATGAGTAAATTAAGTATAGATAAATGGCAGATTTCGGTTTATTATAAGTTAAAATGGTAAAATATAGGGATTGGAATCGATTATCATTATTAGAATCGATTTTAGAATCGATTAATCGTCGATTAATCGTTAATCGAAATTATACTACTACCGGTCACGTGACTATTAAAATTTATTAAGATCGACATAAAAATTTCCTTTTTTGGAATTTTGTACAACATAACTTGAATTTCGTTGGACAACAAAATTTCCTTTTTTGGATTTTTGTTAATGTCACGTGACAGCGACCTAACTTCTTATTAACGGACTACCCCAAAATGTCACGAAACGGCCGGCATTAAGAAATTAAGAAATTAACTGTGTGACAAATAATGTGGTTTTTGTCAACCGAAATAAAACCAATACTTGTAGGGTACGCAGGGGAAATCTTATTAACGCTACTGCGCCACAATAAGTAAATTCGATTTTTATTCGATAATCGATTTAAAATCGATTCTTATCGATTTTCGATAAATTCGATTATTGTAAAATCGATTCCAATCCCTAGTAAAATAATAAAAATTTAAGGGAATTGCTAAACATCGCCTGGGTGATTGTCGCCTGGATTTTTTTTCAAATGTCACATGATGTACAATATATTGGCTGACAGCTGATTTGATCAGCTAAAAAAAAATCATATTTATTCAAAATAACAGATCGCAATTATTGAGTTATCCGGTTACCTTTTATTTTGTTATTATTTTTATTGTAATTTTTTTTGGTTGTCGGTAAATTTTTTATTATAATAGAACAAAAAATATTTAATTATATTGATTATAAATCATAAATCAGATATGTTTCCATGATACTAATGCGGTTGTCATACTTCTTTTGTATATGATGATGAATATAACATGAAGTATTTAGTTGTTAATGCTGTAATCCAAATAACTTCTTCTCAGAAGTTGAGGTGCCTAATCAACGAGCCTGTAGCAGAATACATGGGTACCGAAATATTACGGCAGTAACGACACATTACACCAATTCGGTATTACACGAATCTTCGAACAAAAATTTGATGTAATACTATATATTTCACCATTACGCCTTAATAAAATCTTCAATATATTTTCACGAATATTATTTGAGTCGTAGGTTCTATTTCCCTTTATATCCATTTTATCACACAATATAAAATGTGATGTAGTACAATACAAAAAGCTTGGATCATTTGTGACGTTTAACTCCGTGAATCCAGTAGACATTATGATGAAAGAAATATTTAATAATACGAAATTGATGTAATTAGTTTTCAATAATAAAGGCTTATAATATAAATAAGTTAAATTTGATTAATAATGTGTAGAAAATGTTTTTTTACGCGAATTTGTTATTATAAAGAGCGATCGCCACTGGACTAGTGTAATTTCTTATTTGTGTTTCCCTTAACAATATTGTTTAATGATAAGATTAAATTTATACTTTAAATTACAAATCAGAATGCTCATTTCTACATACATCAGACGATAATCATTTATTGAACTTTTATAATTATAAATAATATGCCAAAATACTAAACTCGAAATATAATATGATATTGTATACCCGACGCACGTAACGCACATAATATTACTAATCGTATTACCGGTAAGACGGTAACTATATTACTTTATACATTTCAGCATCATTTTTCAATATTACCGATTTATATTACTGCTTTTGATATAAAAAGTTTACCAATAAAAGGGACGACTAAAGCGGTGCTGTATCACGTGATCATAGTTAATATTTGTCAAGTCTATTATTCACTTTTCCGTTTTATTAAGTATTCTGGAGAACGAAATCATTCTTAAACATGATGTTTAATGAAACTGTTCAGAGATAAAGAGTTCCTTCCTGCAACCTTAATAAGCATTATTCACAAATTTGCATATAATAGTAATAGTTCAAAGCAACTGTTTATTACAGGAATTACAAATTTTAAAAAGATACTGTAATCCACATGAATTATAGAATTTTTTCAATTTTATTGTATTACAAAAAAGTATTTAATGATAATAAAATAAATAAATAAATACAAATTTTATCAATTTTAAAAGATCTAAATACCATTACCATATCAGATATTTTAACCCATGCAAATAGTCATTACTGCAGAATAAATAAGAACCCAAGTTTTATTAAACATAATAAATAACAATAAGCTTTCACTAAAGCCCCTTTTTAATTTATTTAATTTATTTTGAGCATACTGATATCCTTGCCTAGAAGTTTTCTCATACCAATAATTTGCTATATTTATATTCTTTTTAATACCTTTTCCATATTCATACATTAAAGCAAGATTGTATTGGGCTAAAATCATTTCCTAAATTTGCTACTTTTTGATATAGTTTAAATGCCTTTTGTCTATCAATTAAGTTCCGATACCTTTTTCATAATTTTATTTATATTTTATACCATACCGTCTTACGTATTATACCTATTATTAGAAAAAAAAAATTCCTGAAAGATCTATAGCGATCTATCGGCATTATTAAAAATAAATCAGAGAATTTTATTTATACAATATCTGCCTTATGTATTATACGACCTATTGTTATTATTAGAAAAAAAAATTTAGAAAAATTTCTGAAAGATTTTGTTATATCTATAACGATCTATTGGCATTATTAAAAAAAATCAGAAAATTTTATTTATATACTAATCTATTGTTATTTGTTATTATTAGAAAAAAAAAATTTAAAAAAAAAATTTCTGAAACTCTCGCCGTCTCGCCGTAATATTATTGTCCAATCTTAAACAAAGCATTGTTTATTAATATTTATTTATTTATTTTTTTTTTTTTTTTTGTAAAAATAAATTTTATTGAATACTCGAGTCTAAACTTTAGCTACTACCATCGAAATGTTAATTTTTTTCTTATTATAATAGACAACATCAAAAAATTAAATAGTATACTAATTCATTAAATCAATATCTGATATACGGTATTTATACATTTAATAATTTGAATAAATTTATTAAAATTATTTAAATTACAAACTAAGAATTTTTGTAAAACATTTACTACTCTAATCTTAGTGTTTAAATAATCCATGATAAATAAATAAATAAATAAATAAACGATAATAATTTAAAATATAAAAAAAAATATTGTTTTAAAATTTGATTCATCAAAAGACAATTTAAAATCCATCTAAAGATAAAAAATAGATTAATTATTTGCTTTATAAGGAAATTTATATTTTTCTACTTTATTTTAAGAGCTTACCATCAGGAATTTCCAGTTCATCTTGTTCTTCTGAATGAAAGTTTGGATTATTATATACTTCATCATCATCTGTAAAAGATAAATAAATAGAATTAAAACAATATTAAAATCATTCGTTATTACATAAAATTTTCACCTACCATCGACATATTTTTGAGTTTTCTCTTTTTCGTCATCTAAATTTTAAATAAAAGTCGCGTTTAATAAATTAAATTGATATAGTAACTTTATTTGTTAACTTACTATTTGACTTTATTTGCAACTTTTTAAATAATTTAGATAATTTTTTACTACTATCTAAAAATTAAGATATAGAATTATTATATAAATCGATCTCGATTTGACGATAATTAAAATATATTACCTCTAAAAATAGTAATTACTTTTGATGATTTGCTACTATTCTGCTCATTTGATTTATTAAAGTCGTCAACTAAAATAAAAATCAATTATTAAACATCATTATATGATAATTCAACGCTATAATGTTATTAAATACTTACTATTGTTAGGAATGTTAAAATCATACAATTTACTATGAAACACTATTAACAGTAAAATAAAGTATTTAAAGCTAAATTAGTATAGTAATCAAAAAATAGTAGATTATATGGTTATACCTTCTTGTTCTTCTATTATAATAAAAAGATAACATTAATAATGTATTTTGAAATAAATATATTGATTAATAAATATTATACACTTATACCTTCTGTTGCATTTCTTGGTTCAGGTAGATTTCCAAAGTTGTGAATTTTACTTGTAGATAATCTGCTACTCGTATAATTTTCTTCTACTTTACTCATATCTAAATTATCCATTTCTGATTTGAATAATTCATCTGACATATTTTGATAATGTAAGTTAATATCGTTTATTTTATTACAAAGTGTATTAGCGTCAGGTCTTTTTAATGGATCAGCATCCCAACATTCTTTCATTAAATTTTTATATTCTAATGGAGTTCCTGGCACAATTTTTGGCCTTATACCGTTAATAATATTCATTACAATATCATTTTCATGTTCATAATTTATAAATGGTGTTTGTCCAGATGAAATTTCCCACATAAGAATTGCAATACTATAAATATCAGATGCAAAAGTATATTCTCTTCCAACAATAACTTCGGGTGCTATGTAAGGAAGATTTCCATATATACTTGTTGAACATTTATCAGCAGGTCCACAAAATCCAAGATCACTAATAATCCATTGATCATTAAATTGTGAGTATAATATATTTCCAGAATGTAAATCTCTATGAATTGCTTTCTCTTTATGAATATAATAAAGTGCAAGAATTATTTCATAAGTAATATTAATTCTCTTTTTCCATGTAAGTTGATTATGATTTTGTTGTAAATATTTTCTTAAATCTATATCCATTTTCTCTATTACAAGCATATAATTTCCATTTGATGGATTTTGCGTTAAACCATAACATCGAACAACATCCGGCCATTTATTACTTATAGTTAAATGTGATTTAGCCTAAAAGATATTAATTTGTAAAAATACTACTAGTGTTAATACAAAAAAATTACAACAATTTTATAAAAATAGAATACAATAATACAAACCTCTTCAAACCAACTTTGATTTGCACTTTCAACATTTTCTAATTTTTTAAGTATTATTTTAATGGTTCCACCTCTTTCTAATTGTTTTTTTCCAAAATTCCATTCATCATATCTTCCATCAACCCAATCTGCTGTATAAATTTCAGAAAACCCACCTTTTGTTAAATATTTAATATTTTCTAAATTACTATATGGGATCCATTCAACTATTTTACTCGGCATGAGTGATTCCATTTGACATTTCTGTATTAAATTATCAATATCATCATTTCCAGATGTCCAATTTGAAAAATCTTCTTTTAAATAATTTCGAACACAATATTCACAATATAATGTGGCTAAACATTCTTGCTTACAATTTTCACAAATTCTTTTTGTTCCTGAATTAAAATTAACTTTATTCCGATCATAACCTTTAGTTATCCATCTTATTGCATAAGTTTTTTCATCATTTGTAAGAATTTTATCAGCAAGGACTGTTTGTTTTTGAAATTCAAATTGTTTGTGTATATTATTGTAAATATTAGTATCTGTTAATGTTGTTGCTCTATTATTTGTTGCAAAAATTAATTCATATCGAAGGGTGGACATAATGTAATCAATAAGAAAGAAAGAATTAATGAATTATTTAAGTTCATTCACTTGATAAATTAGTAAAATGCAAATTGTTGATCAAAATTTCATGTTGTCCCACATAAATTTTGGCGTAATATTTTACGCCTCATTACCAAAAAAAGAAAAATATTACTACCATTTACATATTTAGTATGATCAATAATTTACGTTTACGAATATAATAAATTTGATAAACAAAAATCAATGATTGTTATTCAGTCTTAAAAAATCAATATAAAAAATAAAATAACAGATATTAAGTAATTTATATTCCAAAAATTTACTTGGATTTTTATTTTCATTTCTATTATTAAATTAAATTATATTACAATAAATTTAGTCATAAAAAAAAAAAATTCTTTTTACACAGTGTTTAATTTTACTATAATAGGACTGAAGAATATATATAATGTTAGGACCTAATTTTGTAATAAATAAACTTACAATATAATTTTCCGGTAAGTCAAATTAAAAGTGATTTATTGTAGGATTTTTTAATATAAAATCTTTTTATTTAATAAAATTCATTTTTTAAAAAATCTTTTTTTAATGAGAAATTTTTTTATAAAATCCATGGAAATTTTTTTATAAAATCCATGGAAATTTTTTAATAAAATCCATTTGAATTTTTGATATGGATTTTTGTTTGAGAAAACTAATGTGAGATTTTTTTTGAGAAATTTCTGCATCAAATAATCGATACATTCGGAAAATTTACAAAATTAATTTATTGTTGAAAAAGTTGTTTAATTGAAAAATCTTAAAATATTAATAAAACAGAAATCGGCGGAATATTTATAGTTTATGAATCGTAAAAATGGAGCTGGAAATTTTTCATGTCCAAAAATATTAGGACGGAACAAAAGGTGGAAGAGTTCAAAAAGTATGTAGAGTTTACATTTTTAACGCATTTCGACATCACGAACTGTTTATTCACTCCTTTACGAACACGTAGATATAATTTTTTTCACGTTAGTGTATGCGTTGCCAAAAGTGTAAACCCAAAAAAGGCCAAGGAGGGTTAGGTGATAGCGCTTAAAAGGAAGAAATAACAGAGGTTTAGGACTACAAAAAGGACGACTATTAGCTTTATTTTGAGGACTTTTTGCTCTTTGGATTTTTTCGGTCTTTTGGAATTTTCGTTGCCTTGTTCTTGAATATTATTAAAATATTTATGTTCGTAATATTCAATTAATTTTTTGCAACATCATCTTCAATCCAATCAGTCCATTCATTTGAATTATCAGTAACTTTAATTTCAGAGTTATTAGACATTGTTAAAGTAAAAGTATATAAAAAATTTTTCACCACAGAATTAAATTTTTATTTATTTATTTGTTTTATTGTGTTTTTAAATATACAGTATTACGAAGCTATCTCGGATATTTCGGTATTAAAATTTCCATGGAATATATAAGAAATAAAATCTGCATAACGTTACATTTTTTCATTGCATATTACAGCCACACTTATCTATTTATGAAATTTACTTTTTTAGTTAGCTTATTAATTTATTTATAGAGGTGATACACTTACTGCTGATCCCTCCGACCAAAATTTTAGCGGAAGGAAAAAGTGTTTTAAAGGAAAATTTATTAAGTAAACAAACGATAATAACATCAAAAATGGAGTCAGCGTACAATTTTACATGTATGTTTTTAAAAGATAGTAAAAACTTTATATTAGAAAATATTCGAAAATACGACTCGCAGAGATATAACGACGAACGGAGTAGAAGATAGTTTTATAGAGTCAATACGAAAGTCTACAGCAAGACTACAAAGAACAACTACAAAAACGTTATTAATAAGTTGTGCCAGATCGTCCTTTGAGATATATTGAAAGACTTTCGAGCGACTGTGAGAGCTGCGGCAGGCACGTGAGGAGATTAAGAAAGCAAAAGCACGACTTAAAAGAGAGCTTTATAGGGAAAGACAAAAGGTGGATAAGTTGAAACCATTATAATGAACATTATCGCTGTTTTCAATTTAGTTGAAATGATCTGAAAAATGATAAAATACCGAAAACACTTGCATCACATGTTGAGCAACAATGATCAGCCAATGAAATTTAAACACAATAATTTACTAAGTAAAAAAATGATTTCGCGTTCAAACGTTCAAAAGAAAAAATTTTATTATTATGCCTTTACAACTTTACAATGATTAGAAAATTTCACCAACCAATTTAAAACAATAATCAGTTACTATTTTAATAAAAAATCAAATTACAGATAATTGAAATATTACAAAGTTTATATAATTAATAATTACGACGATTTTTTTTTAAAAAAAATCTTAGTGTTCTGTAATTCAAATGATTCTTTAATTTTTGAAAGAAGAAACAAATCTTTTTCCTAATCACAATCCAAAAATTGCCCTAACACAAGTACCCAATGAATTTATCTATATGTAGCAAGCAACTACTGTGAAAAATAACCTAAAAGACATAATAAATAACAATTATATAAAAATAAAAAAAACTACATGCATATAAGAAAAAATATAAAAAAAAATTCAAAAAAGAAATAAAAAAAAGAAATAATAATAACATTAATAAATAAGCTGTGGCTGTTCATACAGTGCTACGGAGGATGGAGAAAGTGAAATAATCAAAAAAAAGTTCTGATCAAAATTTAACTAACTTATACTTGCCGTCGGGATTAATTACGGCATATGAAGCTCATAATGGCCGAAATGAAAGATAGGACTGAAAATTGTGAGTTGTAATAATAATTATGCAATGAATAAGAAGGATATTAGGATATTATAAATTAAATAAAAAACATTTTTTATTGATAAATGTATTTTGTTCAAGTGTCAATAGTTATTTTCTGATTCAATTTATCCCTTCAAATGCCTGGATTATTATTGATTAATAATACTGTATATTAGATTTTCCCTAGGACTAAGAGAGATAGCAGAATTTACTGATATAAAGAGTATTAAGAATATTGTTTCATTCTAATAAAATTTTTATCGCATATTGTTCTGTATTGTGCCACATATAGGATAACACAAACACGATTTTCTATTCTATTTAAATGAAAAGGCTAATAATACTCCTATTATGGAAAAATTAAGGGTACAAAATTACAAATATATAACCTACAGCTTATTTTTTTCTCACGAATATATTAATATAATATTGACTGGATTTTCTCCTCATATTTGAACTTGAAACTATATTCTATTATACTTTAGAAGAAAGAAATTTAAACTCTAATATTCTCTAAACTGTCGTTTCAAGATGTATTCCATTAATAATCTTCCTAAAAAATGTTACGCATGCTCTTCTTGCTCCTAAAGTAATCATACAAATATCTGTTCTATTTGTGAGCACTTTGAAGGACAACGCGAACAAGTATATTTAATTAATATTTTACAATTCAATATAGCTTAAAAATCCAGGGCAATTTCTTGATAAAGACTTTGAGAATATGAAACAAGAAATAATTCTGTAAACTCTTTATCCCTAATGAAAGAAGTACTGTATATATAATCTAGATGTTAAGAATATTGGATCTAATTCTGGTATAAATAGCTCAGAATCTCTTACATTAAAAGTTGTAATGTTCCCATATATTCATAATAACAAGGATTGTTACTATTGAAACCAGACTGTGAGTATATTATTTTTTCTAAATATAATCTTCAAATCTTTTATTAAATAAATTTATTAACCCTTTGCTATCTATTTATTAGAATAAGTTAAAATTTTTTACTGATCTTGGTCTAATTAAAACAGTGACTTTTAATAAAAATTCACCAGCTGAAGAAGTTGAACGGATAGGGCTACAACTCAACGCAAAAGGCTGTATATTGGGCCAATGAATAAATACTCCATTACAAAATGAACATACATCATTGAATCCCCAATTTTAACAAATCATAGAATACGTTCAGAAGTATTAGATTTACCAATTAATTTTCAATACACGGACTCATATATATCAATAATATCTCAAATTCTTATAATATTGATACTAATATTGACAATAGAACAGTGAATAAATTCAGATATGGATTACTGAGTTCCCTCAACTTAGATATAATATTATTCAACTTGATACGACATTTATTCAAATTAAAAGTATGGACCCTTGGAAAATGAGTGTGACGAATGAGAAGCTTTTACCGCAAGATCAATAATTTCTTGGATGAAAAGTATGTAAATAATATGTAATTTTGG